TGCTCTGCTGTGACGACTACAGCCACTGCGCCACCACGCCCACCTCCACTGGGACCCCCTCCCCATCCTCGGAGACCTCCCGTGCCCCGGTGATACCCGTCACGACGGCCACTACTGTCTTCAGCTTCCCCACCACCACCCCGGTCGGCGCCTCCCCAACTTGGGGCACGGAGACCTCGCCCGGGCTCCGCAGCACCGTGCCCAGCACCGCCGCGGCCGCATCCAGCACCTGGGCCTCCCCGCCGCCCCCCACGGCTGAGGCCACCAGCTCCCTGCTGAGCTCTGCCCCGGGCCCCTCCACAGCCGCTTCTGTGTCCCCGCCTGTCTCGGTGTGGACCCCGTCCACTCCCCTGCTCATCACCCCGGGGCCCCCGGCCGCCAGCAGCACACACTTCACCACCGGCTGCCTCTGCCAAGCCTTCGGGCAGCTCTTCTCTCCCGGTGAGTGAAGAAATCCTTGCTTCCCCCCAGCTGTCCACCCAGGGCACTCCGTTCCTGGCCTCTGTGGGGCCCCTCCCTGTGCCTCCTGCCCCTCGGCGGGTGCCACCCCACCCCCACCGTCTCCTGAGCTGCCCTTTGTGTGTCCACCTTAGTGACTGTCTCCTCCACAGGTGACGTCATCTACAACAGGACGGACGGAGCAGGCTGTGCCTTCTCCGCCATCTGCAACGAGCGCTGTGACATCGACCGCTTCCAGGGCACCTGCCCCACCTCCTCACCCCCAGTGACCTCTGCCCCCACATCCCCAACCTCCACAGCTCCTCCCTGTGACCTCCTTGTCCCTGCCCGACAGGTGCGGCTCCTGCCTAGGCGTCCCTTTTTGCTGCATGCCTGGGGTTGGGAAACAAATGGGGTTCAAGCCCTGCCCTGCCTGGGGCTGTGGGTGGCCCCCGGCACCCCTCCACGGGTAGCCCTGGAGGAAGGCACGAAGGGTTGGGGCTGGCCAGGACGCAGGGCAGCTCCGCCCGGGGCAGTGAGGGACCTGAGTCTGTGGCAGGGCCATGTGGGCAGGTGTCGTGGCCCCAGCCGGTGAGCACCACGCCCGCTGCCTCCCAGGTGAACGAGTCCTGGACCTTGCCGGACTGCACGGTGGCCCGCTGTGAAGGCAACAACCGCGTGCTGCTCCTGGAGCGGAAGCCAGTGGCCAGTGTGAGCTGCGTGAACGGGCGCCCGCCAGTCAAAGTGTGGCAGGAGAGGGAGCCGTGTGACTTCCATTTCGAGTGCGAGTGTAAGCTGGGTGGGGCCAGGGGGTGCGCAGGGAGCCCCCCACGCATAGAATGGGCTCCTGGACCAGGGGTCGGCGTGCACATGGGGACAGCAGGGGCCTTTGTCCCCGGGGTTTCTGGGCGTCTTTCCCAGAGTTGCCGTCTGGGAACACTTCCGGCCGGGGCCCTGGACGCCGTGGGCGGCAGGTTCGGGGAGGAAGTGAGGACCGCACACTGGGTCACAGCACCCAGAGGGCTGCAGGGAGGGCCCTTCCTGCCTTCTCAGCTTTGGGGGCTCCAGGCATCGCTAGGCTTGAGCCACGGGCCTCCAGTTGTGGCCCGGCCTTCCCATGGCCACTCACTCCTCTCTCTTACAAGGACACTTGTCACTGGGCTAGAGCCACCTGGGTAATCCAGGATGGCACCCTCTAGAGGTCTGTAACCTAATTACTGACAAGAAGACCCTCTCCCCAAGTAAGGGTACATTCTCAGGCTCTGGGAACGTCCTTAGTCCTTTAGGGCCACCATCCAACCTACTGTACCCATTTTATAAAAAAGACAGCCAAGGCCCGGGCAGTTAAGTGGCCCTCCGAGGCGGCAGTTTGGGGGTGGCACTGGGTGAGGGGACTGCCGGTGTCCCCAGGCTTGTGCAGCGGCTGGGGGACCTCTCACTACAACACCTTTGACGGCACCTCCTACTCCTTTGTGGACAACTGTACCCACGTGCTCATGCGGGAGATCCGCCCACGTCACGGGAACCTCAGCATCTATACGCACAGCCACTACTGTGGGGCCACCTCGGCCACTGCCCAGTGTCCCCGCGCCCTCAGCGTCCACTATAAGTCCATGGAGGTCATCCTCACCACCAGCACCAGTGCCAGCGGGCAGAAGGAGCCCCTGGTGAGTGGCCCTGCCCTGCCTCACGGGGGAAGGCCGGCGGCCTGGAGGTCAGCTCCCAGACGGGCAAAGGGCGTGCCGTGATGCCCCAGGGGCCTGAACGCGGCCAGGGACTCTGGGATGCCAAGGATTGGGGGCCCCAGCGCCTGGGAGGGAGAGCCCCCAACGCAGGCCCTGCTGCCCCACCACCGATCATGGATCCCCCCGCACCCCCGACATGTCCTCAGATCTTGTTCGACCAAATGCAAGTGATCCCGGGCTTTGGCAAGAACGGCGTGAGTGTGTCCGTGACAGGCACCACCTCGATGGGCGTCAGCATCCCTGCCATTGGTGTGGGCATCAGCTTCGATGGGCACATCTTCCAGGTCCAGCTGCCCTACAGCCACTTCAGCCACAACACCGAGGGGCAGTGCGGTGAGTGGGGGCCACAGCCGCCTCAGCGCAGGTGGGGAGAGGCGCGGGGCGAGACCGTGACCTCGTTGCCCCACCTCCCCAGGCACCTGCACCAACAGCCAGACGGACGACTGCCGCCAGCCAGACGGCACCATGGCCCCCAGCTGCCAAGAGATGGCCCGTACCTGGCTGGTCCCCGAGAGCAGTGGGGAGGACTGCTGGGCGCCCACCCCCCAGCCCCCAGGCCCCACCACGCCCGCCTCCTCCCCGTGCCCCCCAGCACCTGTCTGCGAGCTGATGCTGAGCGCGTGAGTCTCTCCTCTGGGTTTGGCGGTCCTGGGGCAGCGCCCCACTCTCTGCCCTGGCCTCTGACCGCCCCTGCCCACAGGATCTTCGCAGAGTGCCACGGCCTCATCCCACCGGGCCCGTTCTTCAGCTCCTGCGTCCGTGATGGCTGCCAAGCTGACCGCCAGGCGCCCTGCAAGAGCCTGGAGGCCTATGCAGCACTCTGCCGAGCCCAGGGCGCGTGCAGCAGCTGGCGCAACGCCACCGGCGGGCTGTGCAGTGAGTCAGGGCGGCCCCTGGGGGCTCTGGCCTCCTTGGCCCACTTGACACCTGTCTCTGTCCCCAGACTTCACCTGTCCCTCCGACAAGGTGTACCAGCCATGTGGCCCCGCACAGCCCACGTCCTGTGACTCCAGGTAACGCTCGCCTGAAAGGTCTGGGGTGCACTGAAGGGTCTGGGGCTCCCTTTCCCCGATCTCTGACCCTCCACTCCGGAGTGGCCCTGGGCAGCTGGCAAACCCCAGCCCTCCACCATGCCCCCTGCCCTCCCCTCTGGACTGTGCTCGTGTCGATCGAGGGTCCAGGGAACGCCCTCCTGGCCTTGCAGGAGCCAGAGCACAGGGAGCGAGGGGCTGGCGGAAGGCTGCTTCTGCCCCGAGGGACACACCCTCTTCAACACGCACACAAACGTCTGTGTGCGAGAGTGTGGTAAGCACACGCGCGGCTGCCCTGACCTGAGCTTCAGGGCTGGAGGGGGAGCATCCGGGGTGGGATGACCCCAGCCCAGGACCGCCCCTCCTGGGTGCTCACTGTCCCAGAGGGCGCAGTATGGCCGTGACACTGAGCTCTCTAGGGGCTTCTGAGCGCAGCAGGAAGAGGCCTCTGCTGGGGGTGGGGGCAGCCAGGCCCGCAAGGACGTGGCCCAGGGCCCGTGGTCTCTGCTGGCTGGGACTGGCACCCAGCACCCCCAGTGCCCCTCCCCTTTCTTCTTCCCTTTCAGGCTGTGTGGGACCAGATGGGTTTCCCAAACTTGTGAGTATCCGCCCCCCAGCTAGCTGGCCTCCTGCCTGAGCAGCGGGAGGGAGGGCCCCTCTCGGCACCCGCAGGGCACCCTGTGGGGTACCCACGTGGGGGGCACATCCCTGTCACATGGGCTGCTCCAGACACGGCAGCAGCCTGAGCGGGAGGCCAAGGGCTGACCGGGCCGCATTGAGGGCTGCAGCCCAAGAGCCAGGGCACCATCCAGGAGCCTCCAGGGACCCTGACCCGTCTCTTCCAGCCGGGGGACCGGTGGGTCAGCAACTGCCAGGACTGCGTGTGCCACAGGGGCTCCCTGTCAGTGCAGTGCACGCCCGTGCTGTGCGAAGCCCGGGATCGGCCCCTGCAGTGCGGCCGGGCGGGCCTGGTGGCCGTGACCAGGCCTCTGGCTGACAATCCGTGCTGCCCGGAGACACTGTGCGGTGAGCCCCATGCCCCCACCGGCCAGAGGGTGAGGAGGGGGCCTGCAGGGCCGAGGCTGGACCAGTCGGTGGGCCTCTCGGTGCTTCATTTTTCCACCTAAAAATGAGGCTGGTGGCTTCTGGTGTGGCCGGTACAGTGAGGGGACCCAGCAGGAACCCAGAAGGTTCAGTCCCCAACTGTTGCAAGAAACTCCCTTAGACGGTGAACTAGCACAGCCGGAAAAGGGGAGCTTCAGGGGTGTCCCTGACAGCGCCCTGACTCTCCCACAGTCTGCAACGCGACCACCTGCCCCCAGAGCCCACCCAACTGTGCGCCGGGAGAGGAGCTGGTCCGCACACAGGAGGAGGGCCTCTGCTGTCCTACCTTCACCTGCCGTGAGTGGGCTGGGGACCCTCTGGGGTGGGGCTCGGGGCGGAGGAGGGTGAGCACTTCCCCCCCAGCACCCGGCCAGGTGCTCAGCCCTCCCTTTCCTTCCAGAACCTAAGCTGTGCACCTACAATGGCACCGCCTATGGGGTAAGGGCTCTGCTGAGCAGGATGGGCGGCAGAGGGTGGGGCCCTGGGCTCGGCACATCTGCCAGGGGAACCTCCACCCTCGTCTGGACGGGCCCAGCCCTGTCTGCAGCCTCCTGCAGGAGAGCAGATAAGCATGGGGGGTTCTGGGCCCTTTAGAGCCAAGGGGAGGGGACACAGGGCGGCACTGTCTGCAGAGGGCCTGGAAGGGCTGTGGGCTGCGCACCTGCCTCTGAGAGCTCAGCTTCCCGGTCTTCCAGGAGCTTCCTCACTGCAGAAGTGTTGGGATACGACCATGGCCTCCCAGCCCCCTCCTGCTGGCCTGGCTTCCCTGCCTCCACCCCGTCTGTGCTCAGCCAGGGGGCACATGCATAGTTCTATCTGAAGGGGAAAGAAACCACGTTCTGTGGGCCTTCCCTTCCCGTAGCCCACCCAGCAGCAAGGAAGGGTCCCGGCCCTGGTGCCCGACCAGTGCCCTCAATGTCGCCTCCCCTCACCCCGTCCACTGCAGATTGGTGCAACCTTCCCAGCGGTCATTCCCTGTCACACATGCACCTGCCTGTCTGTGGACACCCAGCACCCAAAGGTGCAGTGTAAGAAGAACAGCTGCAACACCACCTGCCCCCAGGTACACCCTCTTGGGCAGACTGCGGTAGTGCCTGCCTGGTGGTGGCCCTGGGCAGGGACACGGCTTCACGGAGGTGCAGGTTGCTAATGAGGTCGCTGGGCCCTTAGGGTATGGATGGGGTTCAGGAGGGCTGGGGCGTGGGGCTGGCGGTGAGGATGTAACCAGCCCTGTCCCTCAGGGCTTCCAGTACTGGACGCTGGACGGGCAGTGCTGTGGGGACTGCGTGCAGACAGCGTGTCTCACGCCGGACGGCTGGCTGATCCAGGTAAGAGGGGGTTCGGACTCCACCCCCGCCCCCAGAGCCTTCCCTTCAGCCCCTCTCGGCTCACCAGATAATTCCCCTGCGGGCCTCCACCCTCCCCACTGCATTTCAGCCCAACGAGACCTGGGTCCGCAGCCTCGTGGACAACTGCACGGAGTACCGCTGCGAGGCCAAGAACGGGCTCCACGTGCTCACTCCGAGGCCCCTGCCCTGTCCTGACTTGTCCGGCTGCAAGGTGAGCCCTGGGGCCGCCCGCGCCCCGAGAGCCCTCCCAGCGGCCCCGCCCCCACGCGCCCTGGGAACCCCGCCACCCACGTCACCTGCGCGCACCCAACCCCTGAGAGTCCCCGCCTCCACCCTGGGCCACGCCCACCCGATTCCCGGCCTGAACTCCCCACTGCCTCGGAGGCCACGCCCCCATCCCTGGGAAGCCACGCCCACGCCCGTCCCCCGAGGCCCCGCCCGCGCCCCTACTGCCGGAGGCCCCGCCCAGCCCCCCGGGCCGCTCTGTCTCCCACCCCTCCAGGGCGTCCTCAGGAAAACTGGCTGCTGCTATTCCTGTGAGGAAGTGGGTAAGCCGAGCCCCGCCTCCCCGGCCCCCCAGCTCCTCTCAGTCTCTATCCACCGATTTCGGCCCCAGCTGCTCCAGGACCCCCCCCACCCCCGGGCGCGGGGCGCTGGAGGGTGACGTGGGAGGAGAGGCCCCAGGTCACCTCCACTACCCTTCCTCCGTCCGCCCAGACTCCTGCCGAGTCCGCGTCAACAGCACGGTCCTGAGACACCGGGGCTGCGCCACCCAGGCCGCGGTCAACGTCACCTTCTGCGAGGGCTCGTGCCCCGGAGCGTCAAAGTGAGTGAGCCCGGCGCCCCTCCCGAGGGCCCCTCCCCGCCCAGGCTGCCCCGAAGGAAGGGTGCAGGACTGGCTCCAGACCCCGGGAGGCCTCCCCTCCTAGAGGAGGAGGCCCTGTGCCCGTCAGAAGTTTGATGAGCTGGTTCCAAGAAGGGAGGGGGCCTGGCTGCGCAGGCCAGAGCTCCGTGCCCCTGAGCGCTGCCCCAGGCCAGGTCACAGGAGCCCCCACTGCTCCAAGCATGAGCTCAGGGCTGCCCAGGAGCGGGCGGGGGCCGTCATCTCCAGGCCCCGGAGAGAGCAGGGTGGCTGGGGCGGGACGAGGCGGGTCCCCAGGGTGGCCGCTCGCATCCGCAGGTTCTCCATGGAGGCCCAGGCAATGCAGCGCCAGTGCACCTGCTGCCAGGAGACACGGCTTCACGAGGAGGTGGTGACCCTCCAGTGTCCCGACGGGACAGCGGTCCCGCACACGTACACCCAGGTGGACGAGTGCAGCTGTGCTCCATCCTGCGTCCCTGCTCCTGAGGCTCCCAAGGACATCTTCCCGATCTAGGGGTCCACCACCGGCTGTTGCCGCTCTGACCCCATCCCGCAAACGCCCTCCCTCCCCACCCGGAGCCAGAACGCACACTACCCAACGGCGGGAAAGCCTGCTGCAGGAGCCCGGGCGCGCCCCCAGCCACGCCCTCGGGAAACCTGTGCCCTGGAGGGTGATGGGGCCATCTCGGCGTGCTTGCGGGGTGGGGGTGGGGGGCTCCCGGAGGGGGCCTTGCCCTCGGAGCCCTTCAGCACGTCTTGGCCACCTGCCTGGCCATCAGCGCCGGCCCCTCATCTGAGAAACAAGCGCCCGCTCCATCCGGCCTCGCGCCCTTCTGGGTGCCAGAGGGGTGCCCCGTAGCAAAGTGCACATCAGCCACCATGCTGCTCCCCCCCACTGTGGGCCTGCGTGCCCCCGCCCCCTCGTAGCCCCAGGGAGCCTCCTGCTGGCCACCTCCTGCGGCAGAATTCAGGCTGAGGCCTGTCCAGGCAAGGCTGGCTGCCTCCAGGGAGCGGTGTCAGGCAGGCCCATGTCTGGACCCGGGCGTGAGGTTACCATGGCCGACAGGCGGGGCTGGGGGGGGGCGTCAGCTCCCTCTGCTCACCCGGCCCCGATCTTGCAAATAAACACTGAGCATTGTGTACACTTCTGGGCCCTGGTATCTCTTCTGCTGACTGAGGCCCCTGGGCCTCCTCTCCATCCTTCCGTGGGCCAGGCAGAGCGCCTCAGGCAGTAGAGCACCCCCAGGGCTCATGCCCGATCTGCTGGGAGGGACAGGTGGGGTGAGGGGCATGGAGGCCTCTCGGGGTCAGTCCTGGGCTGTGGGGTATTGGCTGGGGCCGGGCGTGAGGGCAGGGGGGCAGGAATCTCTGCCTTCTTTTCTGCCACTCTAGGAGAGCCCTGCATGCACGTGTGGGGTGTGGGAGGGACGGGGGAGCAGGCGGGGTGCACAGACAGGGGACGCGGTATCCAGACACAGGAGGTGCCCTGCTTACCTGGGCCAGGAGGACGAGAAAGGCCCCCAAATGGGCTTTCAGGGGGGGCTGCCACCTGGTGAGGCAAAGGCAATGCCTAAAGGAAGCTGCTGGTGGGGGCTGAGTGGGAGGGCCCCCCCCGGGTCACATGACCTGCCTCTGCATTCAGTGTGGCTCCCATGGGCCCTTACCCCCCCTTCCCGGGCCGGGGGAAGGTGGCTTGGGGCTCAGGGAGGGGAGTCTGGGCTCCCTTCAGGCCACTGCTGGCCTTTCCTACCTACCTCGAGAGGTCCGGTCAGGGCAGGCCACCCTGGGCCCCGGCTTGTGCAGCTCAACGAGGCCGGCTTCCCACTCCCGGAACCAGCTTCTGGAGGCGTACCCCAAACCTCATGGTCTGATTTCCTGGGGGCTGTGGCCCGGTCACCCCCCCACCTGAGTGTTAACCCACGTGCAAAACAACAGTGTTTCCTAAAGGGCTGTCATTCCCACAGCACCATCTCTTCCTTAAGCACACGTACCGCTTACCCGACTGAAGCATGTGCCTACGGTACTGGGACATGGGTGTCTCTTGCCGTGGACTAGAGCTTGCGTGCAGGGAGTGCTGCCCGTGCCGTGTGCCCGAATGCCCTCGTGCAGTCCTGACGGTGCCCGACGCAGGGTGTGCCATTGCTTCTCCCGCTTTACAGATGGGGAAACTGAGGCACGCAGCGATGGAAAGACTTGCTTCAGTAAAGGGGAAGGCCAGGCTCAGTCCAGGAGATCTGACTCCAGGGTCCATGCTGTCAGCCACAGGACTCCACCGTGGCCCTGGAGGGCGTAGCTATAAAAACCAACAAGGTGCATAAAGACAAAACACTGTTACTTAAACTTTAAATGTTTTCAAAAAGGGATTTCTGGCTTCCAGATGGAAAAGTGGTCACGTCTTCCCCCACAGACAGAAAAACCACGACAAAGATAGAAAGAAATTTTAAAATAGAGGAGCTGAAAACAGGAAAGTGAAACCGACAGACATCCTGAACAAAAGGAGGTTTTGGGGGATGCACCCGTGGTGAGAGGCCGTGGCCACAGGGCAATATTTGGACAGATGTGTGATAAGAATGACCTTCCAGAACTGAAGGCATCGGTGGGTGCCGAGAAAGGGAAACAAGTCAGTCTGTTCCGAGAGGCCAAGTGGCGAGGCCTGAGGGTACCAGGCAAAGAGAAAAGCTCAGAGCTGCCAAAGGACAAGATGGGGTGCCCATCCCCGAGGGAGACCAGACCGGCACCAGGAGACTGTGGAACGGCACCTCCGAGGTGCCGAGGGAACGTGACTTTGAGTGCTGCATTCCACACGAAAGTACGCTATCATTTAAAAGTGATCATGAGGGGCACCTGGGTGGCTCAGTCGGTTAAACGTCCGACTTCAGCTCAGGTCACGATCTCACGGTTCGTGGGTTTGAGCCCCGCCTCGGGCTCTGTGCTGACAGCTCAGGGCCTGTTTCAGATTCTGTGTCTCCCTCTCTATCTGACCCTCCCCTGCTCACACTCTCTCTCTGTCTCTCTCAGAAATAAATAAAACATTAAAAAAAATTTTTAGAGTGATCATGAAAACAAGGCATTTTCAACAAACCAGGACTCAGAAGGTTGCTGCCTCACCAGGCCCCAAGCAGGAGCTAACAAATAGGCAGAGAAATCGCAACGCGCCGTCACCTCTCAGAAACCTGCACACGGGACACACAAGTTCACAATTCTAATGTGTCAAGTTCATCAGTTTTTTTTCGGGCTTCTTGGCTGTTTCACAGCCAAGTGCTTCTTGGCTGTTTCACAGAACTTTCCCCGCCTTCGGATCAGAAATATGGCCTTTTGGATTGTTTTCTAAAAGCGTGACAATTTTGCCTTCCACCTAAATGTTTTTTTTTTTTAATTGGGATAAAATATACATAACACAAAATTTACCATCTTAACCATTTATAAGTGTACAGTTCAGTGGCATTAAATATATTCACACTGTTTTGCAGCCTGTCCACCATCCCCACCGCCCACCCCATATGCTTTTAGCCTTTTAGAACTGAGACCCCGTACCCAGGAAGCAGTAACTTCCCTCTGCCCCTGCCCTCCTCCCTCACCCCCGCTCCAGACAACCAGCATCTACCCTCTGCCTCCATGACTTGGGTGACACCGGGTAACTCCCCTGGGCAGAATCCCACAGCATCGGTCATTTTGTGACTAGCTTATTCGCTGAGTGTCACGTCCTGAAGTTTCATTCACGTTGTCGCAGGGGTTAGAGTCTCCTTTCTTCTATGACGGGATACCATCCCGTTGAGTGTACACATCAGATTTGGTTTATCCACGGCCGCTTGGGTGGATTCCACACTTTAGCTACTGTGGATAATGCACTACAAACACGCTGCAAACACTCTCAGAGGTCAAATGGCCGGATCATATCGCAGCTCTAATTTTAAGTTTTTGAGGAACTGTCATACTGTTTTCCACAGTGACCAAATGAATTTATGTTCCCAACAGTGCATGGGGGTTCCAATTTTTCTACATCACCTCGCTCAACCAACAGAGCCACCCAGGCGCCCCAGTTTTTTTGAAAAGTTTAAGAAGGACTGCGATTAGTTCTCCAAATGTTTGGTAGAATTCACCAGTGAAGGAAGCCATTAGGTCCACGCTTCTCTTTGTGGGGAGGGTTTTGATCACTGGTTCAATCTGCTTGCTACTTCTAGATCTATTAGGATTTCCCATTTCCTCCTGATTAATCTTGGTAGCCTTTTTTTTTTAAATAAAGTTTTTATTTGAATTCCAGTTAGTTAGCACACAGTTAACCAAAAAGATAGCGATCGGGTGTCAGTAGGTTCTGTGTTTCTAGGAATTTGCCCATTTCATCTCAGTTATCTAATTCTTTTGGCACGTAATCATTCACAGTACTCTCTTACAATCATCGTTATTTCTGTAGAAGCGGCAATAATGTCCTTCTTTCATTATGATTTTAGCAGTCTATGTCTTCTTTTTCTTAGTCCATCTAGCTAAAGGTTTGCCAAATTTGTCGATTTTTACAAAGAACCAAGTTTTGGTTTTCGATTTTTTCCTATTGTTTCTCTATTCTCTGTTTCGTTGAGCCCTGCTCTCATCTTCATTATTTCTTTCCTTCTGCTGAGCTCTGGCTACTCAGTTCTTCATTTTCTAGTTCTTATGCTGTAGAGCTAGACTGTTGTTTTGAGGTCTTTCTTGTCTTTTAATGTGAGCACGTATAGCCATAAGTTTCCCCCTTAGCGCTGCTTTCACTGTGTCCCCTAAGTGTTGCTATGCTGTGTTTTCATTTTTGTTCCTTTCTAAGTATTTTCTAATGTTGATGCCTTCTTTGATCCATTGGTTGTTTAAAAGCACGTTGCTTAACTCCCACAACATTGTGAATTTTCCAGTTTTCCTTTTGTTACTGATTTTCAACCTCATCTCGTTGTGGTCGGAGAAGATGCTTGTGTGATAGTTATCTTTCAAATCTAGCAAGATTTCGTTCATTGCCCAATGTATGGCGCATCCTGGAAAATGTCCCATGTGAACCTGAGGAGAATGTGTGTGTGGTTTGGAGTGGGTGCTGTGTGTGGTTCACTGTGTCACACTAGTCCTGTTTCCTTACTTAACCTCTGCTTGGTTGTTCTGTCCACTAGTGTGAGTGGGGCATTCAGTTTCCAACTATTAGGGTAAAAGTGTCTATTTCTCCCTTCAATTTTGTTAGTTTTTGCTTCACGTAGTCTGTAATTTAGGGACAAAAATGTTTATAATTCTTATATATTTTTCCTGTACTGAGACTTTCATTAATAAAATATGTCCTTCTTTGCCTTATGGATTTTTAAAATTTAAAGTCTATTTTTATCTGATTTTAGTAAAGCCACTCCTGTTCTCTTTTGGTTGCTAATGTGTGGAAGTCTTTTCCTAGCCTTTCACTTTCCACCTGATTGTGTCTTGGGATCTAAAGTGAATTTCTCATAGACAGCACATAGTTGGACCATGTGTTTCCTCTTTTGCTTTTTTTAACGTTGATTTCTTTTTGAGAGAGTGCACAAGCAGGGGAGGGGCAGAGATGGAGGGGAGGGAGAGAATCCCAAGCAGGCTCTGTGCTGTCAGTGCAGAGTCCTATGTGGAGCTTGAACTCATGCGAACCACGAGATCATGACCCAAGCCGAAGCCAGATGCTCAACCCACTGAGCCACCCAGGTGCCCCTGGATCATGTGCTTCTATCCATTCTGCCAATGTCTTTCTTTTGAAGGACCTAATCCATTTATACGTAAAGTATTTACTGATGAGGCTTCAGTCGCGGTGCTATTTGGCGTCTGTATGTCCTACAGCTTTGTTTTTGTCCCTCATTTCCTGCACTACTGTCTCTTTTCTGCACTTAGTTGATTCTTTGTATTGAAATATGTAAGTTCCTTTCTCAGTTCCTTTCATGTCTATTCTATAGCTATTTTCTTTGCAGCGACCATGGGGATAACATTCAACCTACTAAAGTTATGACACTCTAATTTGAATTTATCCCAGCTTACCTTCAATAACATACAAAGACTCCCCTCCTTTGCAGCTCCACCCCACCTGTGTTGGCTGGCGATGTTGCAAAATTA